GGACCCGGGAAACCACGGCTCCAGGGAGGAAAGCAGGACAGACACAGGACACGGGAGAGGGAGGAGGAGGGCATCTCGCAGGGGTCCCCGAGGAGGAGCGGCGACCGGCCACCTGCTTCCTCACCGCGGAGCGTCTCCTTGTCGGATGTGCAGCTCCGCTCCCTCTGCCCCCGCCTCCCCGGCCTCCCCGCCCGCCTGCACCGCCTGCACCGCCTCACTACACGGCACAGCAGCCGGGCGCTGGGAGCCCAGGGGGAGCCGTTTTCCTTTGGGCTCAGCTCCCAGCACCCCCCACCCCTACGTGCATCCCCCCGGCCTCCTGACAAAGCTGACGTCCCACTTAGCCGCCCCCCGTGCCCGCTGAGTCCCTGCGCCCTGGGCGGTGGGGGCATTGCTGACTGGGCTCCTGGTTTAGAGGGTCACTTCCCCACTCTTACCTCTGGCTCCCCATGAGGGGGCCTGGAAGTGCTCCCCTGGCCTTAAAGGGGCCTGAGCCCCATCTCACTCTGACATGCCCGCTCCACTGTCCTGGCAGCAGCACCTGTGGCCATGGATAGGGTTGTTTGGCCCCAAGATGACCCAACAAACCTGTGTCTCACCAGGTGCGGCTCACTCCCACTTTCCTTCCTTCCACAGGTGCCTAGCCCTGCACTAGGTTGAACAGCGCCCCCCTGGGGCACAGGAGGGAAGGCGGGAGGGGTGTGAGCCCCTGACTCCATCTGCTTCCACTCTAGGCCTCCAGTGTCCTCCCCTCACATGGGGCACTAACCAGGAGCCAGCCTTGCCCACTCCCACCCCCTGCTCCTCCCCACCCCCCAAGGTTCTGGTTCCATCTTTCCTCTGTTCACAAACTCCCTCTGGACAGTTGTGTTGTTTTTTGTTCCATGTTCCATTCTTAGACATCTGTCATTGCTGCTGCTGCCAGCGCCCAATGTTCATCCTCACTGCCTCCTCTTCTGCCCACACTCCCTTCCAAGATGCTCTTGGGAAGGGGCCAGGGGCAAAGCAGACTCGGAATCCACTGCCCCAGCCCCAGGGAAGGTGGGGCTCTGCCCCTAGGATGCTGCCAGAGTGAGCAGGGGCAACAGAGAGTGTAGGGCCACCTTCTCCCCCTGTTGCGCTGGGGAGGAGTAGCCATGATTTGTCCCGGCCTGGGCCCCTCCCTCTGGTTTCCTACTTGCAATTACTTGAATAAAAATATATCCTTTTCTGGAAAAATAAAGAAAGTGGAAGCCTGAGCCCCTGACGCCTGGACCTGAACAGGACAAGGGCTGCTCAGCCATCAGGGGGATTCACTTGCTGTCAAAAATAGGGGAGGGGCACATAGGGTTACTTTTATTCCAACTCCAACCTTCCCCTGCATTTTCTCCTCACAGGTGCTAAATCTCTGGGCTATAACTTCACAGTCACTCCTAATGGACAACCATGGTGTGAAATTCAAGGCCAGGTCAATGGAAACACATTTCTTCATTATACCTGTGGTAGCCAGGAGGTCAAACTCTTCAGTGTTCTGGAGATGAATGCCACACAGGCCTGGAATCAGCAGAGAGAAACTCTGCAAGATGTGGTGGAAGAGCTCAAGAAGACCCTGCTTGACTTTAAAGCAGAGATTACTGCAACCAGCGGTATGTTTACAAAACCCAGGGTAGAGGTGGAACAGGGTTCAGGGTTAGGAAACAATTGTGTTTATGTAAATATTGCAAGTTGGTCCCACCCAAGAGACTCAGGAGCCACAGAGGACAGAGCAGGACCAGGAGATAAGAGGGGAGCAGAGGGCTGGACACCAGGTGGCCACAGAGGCTCTGTCAAGACCCAAAGCTGACCTCTTTCCCATGGTGGTGGGACAGGTCCTCTCTCCCTACAGGGCAGCATGATGTGTGAGCAGGAATCCAATGGACTCACCAGCGCATCCTGGGAGTTTGGATTGGATGGACAGATATGTCTCCGCTTTGACTCAAAGAACAGAAATGGGAGAGAGCTAAATAATGAAGGCAGACTGTTAAAGAAAACATTGGCGGGTGACAACTATAGGACCAATCTCTTTAATAAGACCTCAGTTGCAGAATGTATGAAGTGGCTTAAAGAAGTTTTGTGTCCCCAGGATGAAATTCTGAGTACAAAAGGTAATTCTGCAGAGGGAATGAAGTTGTAGGTCCCTTGAAATGACATTCACACTCTGTGTGCGCGTTTGTATTGTGTGTGGTTTGAAAAAGTGACCCACCTACCACACTAGAGTTTTCTGGAGGAAAAAGGCCTTAAATGAGCTCTGAAATCCCTGTTTGGTTTCTCTCTTCTTCACGTCTCTGCCTGAACATAACCTTGGAACACTCACCATGGATTTCTTGCTGACTGCAAACCTGTGGGCATTATTCTGTTTTCAGACCTTTTCCTTGTCCTGTTGCCTCTTCTCACCTTCACTTCTCTCTTCAACTCACCTGGCCTATTCTGGAAATCCTTTAACACCACCTCAGATCAGCTCCTGGGAGGATTCTCTACCACCTTCCTCATGTGCACCTCCTCTTCTATCCCAGCAGGAGTAATTATTGTAACCCTTGCTTCCCCATTAGCTGTGTGAGCCCCAAGTGGCCAGGGCCCATCTCCTCTCTTTGCTCCAAGCCCAGGATCTGTCACCTTAGCTGCCACACGTAGAGGGTAGAAACTGTCTGCATCATAGGATTACCTGGGACAGCGTGAGTTGAGGAGGCATCTTCTCAGAATGGGGTTCTGCACAGATGTCACTCTTGTGTTCCACAGCAGATGCATCAACCACTGCCATCGCCACTGACCCGTCCAAGGCCACAACCAACACGCCCATCGCCTGGTGGATCTTCCTTTTGATCTTCACCTGCGTAACCATAGTTGGCATCTTAGTCTGGGTCCTTTACAGTAACAGGTATTGAGGGCTTAATTGTGTGGAAAATGGTGGAAGGCCTTGTAGACCCAATTCAAAAGGCTGAAGTTCACAGAAAGTGGCTTAGAACAGGCCAATTAGGGGGTGGGGGGAGGCAAACAGAAAGGACTACTTAAGGAAGCAACCCTTACGGTTAGAAGGAGGCCCGTGATTCCTGGCTGAGCCCTGGTGTAATCACCTGACAGCCAGCCTCCTCCACATTTCAGATCCTCAGCCACTGAGGGGCCCCTATGAATAGGGCAGGGCTGGGACCTTCATACTGAGAGCTCCAGGTGCTGCTAGGTAAGAGCCTGGGAGAGAAGGAAAAGAAGGATGATTGTCTGCAACCCTCCCCAGGCTGTCAGGTGTCGGGATGGGCCTTCCTGTCCATCAGAGCTCCCACCAGGTCCTTTACAGCCTCCCACCCCCAGGAGAATCAGACCTGAGTGAAGGGAGCAGATTGAGCCATTACTTTAGTCCTGAGCCCAGAACATCTGTGGCAGGGCTGGAGTGACTCTGTGATGTGCAAAGAGTGGGTAGAGCTTGGTACAGGCTGCTGGTCCCAGGGCAGGAGTGGCAGGTTCAAGGAAAGATGTGACTCTAGTGGGGGCAGGGCTGGAGATGGAGAGTGACTGGGGTGCTGTAGCCCCAGGAGAACTGACCCAGGATTTCCTCAGCCACTGGGACCAACACTCGCCCTTTTCTGCAGGCTGCCGATGCGCTGCGACCAAGGAGGCCCTGGTGGTGTGGACCATCTCAGTGACTCTGCCTTTGCTTGGCTGCCTCTGGATGACCTGCGGCTCGTTGTTAGAACACGAGGAGTACAAACCTCTGTCCAGAGACCAGGGTCAGATCAGGATGAGAGAGTAGAGGCAGCATCTCATGTCTGTTATTGCATTTGCTGAGTATCCTCCTCAGGGCTTTTTAAACATATCATGTCACTTTCTGTGGTATTAAGAGATGTAATTCCTACATTTAAACATTAATAGCTTCAATAGGAAATCTCAAGAAAGATAACATTTTCCATATTTTTGTGGAGGATCAGTTACATCTCTGCATCATGACTGATGCAGCCAATGATATTACCAAAAAGTGCCAAATCTTACAATTTCTTTCTGTCCACAAAATTATGTATTTTTAAAGAACAAAATTATATTTACAATGGTTTCCATTAGTAGCTTATAACAGTACAATATTTAAATAAACATGCTTATATTCTAAAAAACTGAATTCCTTTGTAGTTTTGTGTTATTCTTTTTTTAGAGAATTTTTTAGTTTATCTGAGCCAAACATGACAAATACCAACGGCAAGATCTCAAACCCTGAGAATAACAAGATGCTTTTTTCTGTCTATGAGAGTTTTGTGGTTTTTTTGTTTGTTTTTGTTTTTTTTGGCTTAATCCCTTCTTTTTCACCCTGCACCCCAACACATCCCCTCTGACAGCTGTCAGTCTGTTTTCTGTATCCATGAATCTGTCTTTACTTTGCTAGTTTATTTTGTTCATCAGATTCCACATATAAGTGAAAATATATGGTATTTGTCTTCCTCTGACTGGTTATTTTACTTAGGATAATGCTCTCCAGGTCCATTCATGCTGTCTTAAGAGGTAAGGTTTCCTTCTTCTTCCCCTCCTCCACCTTTTTTTGGGTTAGTCCTCACCAGAGAATTTTTTTCTATTGATTTTAGAGAGTGTGGAAGGGAGGGGGGAGAGTGTCCCGTGGCTCCGGCTGAGGGGGGTCTTAGCTTGGTGTAAGGACTAGGAAGTCCTGAGTCCCACCCTGCCCCCATCCATGAGCCTTCTCCCCATTAAATAAGCAGCATAGACTAAGGCCTCCTGCTCCGCACAGTCACCTAGTGAAGACAATGAGCTCCCTGTGACAGTAAGTTCAATTGTCCCAAGACTGAAGGTAGGTGGAGGAAGCCTATGCCAGGCCTCTCTCCTCTTAAACTGAGGGACATAAAATAGCAGCAAACTCTGTGAATTAACAGATATAAAAGATATAGAAGGTTCTGGACTGACTCACTAGAGCCATTATGCAAAAGGGGCCTGTGCTGTGTGCTTTGGAAGACAAGAGACATGTAGGGTTGGGCAGGACACAGGCTTGGTTGGGGTTAGATCTTGGTGGATCCAGGTGGTCTGTGTGTAAGAAGAGGCTCCATGCTTAGGGCTGGGGGACAGAAGCCTGGATTTAATCCCTGGGAGGAGGCAACCAGGAAGGGCCTGGGAGGCTCATCCCACAAGGCTGGGTGAAGGGGGTAAGTGACTGGGAGAACAGGAGGGAGGGGGGAGGCTGGCATGAAAGACCTGGCAAGAAGGCCAGGTGGGAGAAGGACGGGCCTCTCTGGACACCTGCACATCCTGGTCCAGCCCAATGCTTGTCCCTGGCCCCCAGACTCACACCGGACCCCAGGAGCTGGTGGGATTGGCTCCTGACGCTATATTACTGGATGGGGACTGTATCCCACACGTCCACACACAGGAATCAGGCATCTGGATGAATTTCTGGCTGATGTGCCTGTGCTAGTTTCTGCATCTTTCCATGCTCCCGTTTCACTTTTATGATATAGGAAACGCTACCTGAGGGACTGAGATTAAATGAGGAGACCATGCAAGTAGCCTGGTGCTGCCCTCCCAGAGGTTGGGGGCCAGGGCCTCTATGGATGAGAGAGGTGGGCCATGCACTGCAGTCCATGGCACTTCCTCTGTTGCTTGAGCTGCCTTTGAATGTGCAGATATGAACCATACACAGGATCCTCTGAACAGGAATTGGGAGAGCTTCTCAGGCTGAAGAGGCCATGGGTTTACTCTGGTTTAGGGTGATTCTCCCCAGAGGACCCCCATGCTACTTAAGTGCTGGTTGGTGCTGTGTGAATGGTTGAATGCATGAGACCAGTGTGAGGAGAAAAGGCCAAAGAGGCTAAAACCGTTTGCAGAACTGAAAGCCTTAAGACCCTGACCCCTATCAGAGGCCTCCAGGTGGCACTGTAGGTCTTTCCATTTTTGTCTGCAGAACAAGCTTGGAAATATAAATCCTGAATCAGTATCTCAAATGTATTCCAGCTCTTTCTCCTTCATCAAGGTGCGTGCATTAGCTTCTCCTCCGCCATGTCTTCCCACAAGACTTTCAGGTTCAAGAGGTTCCTGGCCAGGAAGCAAAAGCAGAACTGGCCCATTTACAAGGGATTCACATGAAAACTGGTTATAAAATCAGGTACAACTCAAACAGGAGACATTGGAGAAGAACCAAACTGGGTTTATGTGGAATCACACATGAGAGATGACTCACATATTTATGCTGTTTCCAGGTTGCCTCCACCTTTAAATGATTGAAAAGATCGGTACTATCTGAACAGTTGGGGCACTTTAATTGGAAAATTAATGAACTCATGATTCTGCTCCGTTGGTGTTTTTTTTTTTTTCTGCAATAGTAGGTTGGTTCACTGGTAAATGTGTGAGACCTTTAAAAAATAATAATAAAAATAAAGCGTATTCCAAAGAGGAATTATTTTTGTTAACAAAATGCCTTGGGCCCTAGCTAGTTTGGCTCAGTGGATAGAGCATCAGCCTGCAGAGCGAAGGGTCCCAGGTTTGATTCTGGTCAAGGGCACATGCCAGGCTTGCGGGCTGGATCCTCAGCAGTGGGCATGCTGGAGGCAGTCAATCAATGAGTCCCTCTCATCATTAATGTTTTTATCTCTCTCTCCCTCTCCCTTCCTCTCTGAAAGCAATAAAAATATATTATTTTAAAAAGGCCTTGGGCTCTACTGGCTTAGAAATGGCTAGAAAAACATCATTGATGACAGGACAGCTAAGAATGTCTTCTTATAAAAACAAGTCTTGTTTGTCTTACCATCAAGTCAGATGGTAAGAATTCTTGACTGCCTTTGTCAGCATCTGCAAGTAGCATATTCGAGAGGGTGTGTTTGTTCTGTGTCAGAACAGCTAGGAAAAAGAATAATCCTGGTACCAGCACTTATTTGATCACGTCAGAATTGGGGTTATTTAGGTTCCAGCTATGTCGGTGCTGATCCCTGTCACTGCTTTCCTACAGGGCAAACATGAACGTTGGCGTGGCCCACAGCGAGGTGAACCCCAACACCCGGGTCATGAACAGCCGGGGGATATGGCTGACGTACGCCCTGGGCGTGGGCTTGCTTCACATTGTCTTGCTCAGTATTCCCTTCTTCGGCGTTCCTGTGGCCTGGACCTTGACAAATGTTATACATAACCTGATATTTTCTGGCAAGTTTCTATACGAAGTATGGCCCAACTCACTTCATGCTGAACACAGCTTCTCTCCTGAGTGTGCTGATTCCCACAGTGCCACAGCTACATGGTGTTCGGATTTTTGGAATTAACAAGTGTTGAAAAGCTTTGAAACTGAAGAAAAGCATTTACAGCTGCTGAGTTGCCTGTAAGGAAGGAGTGGTCAGTAAACTGCACTGCTCCCATGATAGTGTGAAATGAGAGGTATTTGCGTTGGAGAGCCTAGTGCTGGTTCTTCGTATGCTGTTTGAAGTGCAGATTCTTACAGGAGGATGCCTGTGCTTAATGCATCTGGTACCTTTCTCAAGAGAGGCTTTAGAGGGAGGCTGGGCAGGCCCAGCTTGTAAGTTAAATGGCTATAAAATGAGAGTATAGTAGATACTAAGACCAGCTTAGTTTATAATGAATGGGCATTACGTTAGGAGAAGAAACTTTCCAATCATTCCACTATGGTCAGTTTAAGCCAACTTACATGTAAACCAAAATCATCTCTTTACAAGTCTAATGTAGATTGTTTTTATTGCCATATATATTCCTCTTGTGCTGTATAAGAGGATATAAGCCAATTCCTACCTTGTACTTTTTTTTTCCTTCTCATTTTGCTGGCTCAACATTGTGTGTTGAGGGATGAGATCATTTTCACATTAAGTTACTGAGTTCACGAAGGTCCATGTTCAAGACTGACTGGCGATAGAAGATAGTTAGGCATCTTACAAACAGCCTCTGAGTCAGCCTTCTAATTTTGAAACAAAATGGGGTTTCCTTCCTTTGCAGACCCAAGGCTGCTAAACCAATCAAATAAAATAATTTATTTCACAGTTAAACTATATTGTAATTTAAAAGTCTCTGCTTATTTGATTGAGCAATCTAATTATTTAATCCATTCTTTAGAAAAGAAAATACAAAATGGACAGTTATATAGCCAACTTGTGGTTTGGCAGCAACTGCTTCTCTAGCACTAGTACCAAAGTAATTAGTGGAGTCTTTTCCAGTAGGTCTGCAGTTAAAGATAATACCATCTTTCCTTAGTCCTCCTGCTCTCAGTCCTCATACTTTCCCCAATATTTGGACTTTCAGTACTTGAGTCTTCATGTAGGTAACCCAATATGGTAACTATTTCCAGAGCAGCAGCCATACTGAATTCTTGTGACTAGAGAAGCTCCCTATATTTGCTGACATTAATTGCAAGAAGTAACTACAACTTTGAGAAGTAAATATTTCCAAAAAACAGATCTGATATGGGATGAAACTGAAAACCCTAGGAACATTTGTAAACAAAATTGAATGAAAAGTTATAGACCAACTTAAAATCAGTTTGTTTCAATAAACTGACTTTTGGGGATAATATAATTGTTTTATATTTCAAAAGTATTGACTTTAGAAATCAGCTGTATGATAATGCCTCTGTATGTTTGTCTTTTCCTGTGTATTCTTTTTTCCGTATATTTTTAAATACTTCAATAAAAATTTTCTTTGGTGTAAAAAGAAAAAAAGAATGTCTTCTGCCCTTTCATTAAGACAGAAGTGCTCCTAGAAATGAAAATCTCGAGTCTTTTGGGAAAAGAAGGAATGACTGTGAAATCAGGAAAGGAACAGAAAGGGATAGGTAGGTGGCTAGGAGAATGGGGTGGAGGAAGGGTGCTGGAGGGCTGAGGGAATTCTTAGAACACTGGGAGAAAGTGCTGGAGCCCACAGGTAACTGATTAGGGTGTGAGGATGTGGTAGCTCATTAAAAGCCCAATGCCTTCCCCGTATGGGTGTATGTGTGTAATTAAAGATTGGATGGATGGATTGATGGGTTAATTTCTTAGTGGACTTCCTGTCTTGAGAGTCAATGGCTGCATCAGATATCCCACCATCCTCATTTCCCATCCCATCTCCCTCAGGGCAGGAGTCCTCACCCAAGCTAAGCAATGATTCAGTCTTCTTGGACTCTTAGATGGTTTCCAAATGTCTATG